CCATAAATGCCAAACAGACAAAGTCAGAAGATGATTACTGTAAGGCCATGTGCGGTTTTAAGATCTGGAACTAGCAGAAGTGAGGTGCTGGATTAAAATATTCAGGTCAGAACATGATAAACCACAATGGCTCCAGTAAGGCCGGTCTCAACAAAAATAGGATGTCCCTCATAAAAGGGAACCCAGAATTGAAGATGCATATATAAAAGAGTACAATGAGAGCGCCAAACAAGACAGTACGAGAATCCAAACACGTAATAGAAGGGGTTTAAAAAAAAGACAACACAGCCAACACGTTTCAGGAGCTTGTAGACCTCCCCCTTCTTCAGCGCTTAAAGTGACATTAAAGGCAAAAAAATTTTTCCCTCCCCCCAATGTAAATGTTAGCACTTACCTTAAATGATGTCTCTTTTTGCGATCTTCCTCTTCTTTCCCCATGTTTTCATCTGTCCCTCCAGCGGTGTGACATCCCTCCGATCCAGCGCTGACTGCTCTGTCTCTCCGATCCAGCGGTGTCTGCAGGCGGGTGCACGCGTCCATAGACTTACCTTGCGTCTCTGCTAGTCTCCCGGCCGAGAATCGGAACTGCGCATGTGCCCGCCCCAAGATCCTTTGCGGCCGTACGAGCAGTTCCTGATTCTCGGCGCGGGAACGAGCGGTGATAACGAGGGAAGTTTAAAGGGATTTTAAGCGGGTTTTTTTTTTTTTTTTACACTTCTTGCCTATATCTACTGCTTGCTAGCAGTAGATATAGGCAAAAAAACGGAGGGTTTAGAGCCCCTTTAAACAAAATAGGTATTATTGTGGAGTTAAAGCTGGCACAAATCACCAGAAGTATTCGTGGTGTATAGCCAAAATCAGTACATCAGCAAAACTGTGTGAGCCCCTGAAATGCATTGGCTGTTCTGTGTTGTCGTTTGAGAACTCATTCTATTATTTAAAAAAGTGTTTGAACTCTGGTACTGCCTTGTTTAGCACTTTCATTGGACTTTATACATGCGCGGTTTTTATTACACTTTTCTGTAGAAAAATATTAAATATACAAAACTAGAAATTCATCCATATTACCCATCCCCTTAAAAAATGACAAGAAAAAGCTCACCATGCCCTCACAGATTGGACCTCATTCATAAACCAACACCAACCTTGGGTTTTTCATGAAGGCGTATTGAGCATGTACCAGTCCACCCCACAAAAAGCACCCAACCTGCCTGGAAGTTGATTTTTCACCCAGGTATTACTGGCAATTCGCCCAGGTGCCAGTAATGCATTGCTGTGGGGACATGAAATTTGGGCTCACGTACACAAGTGTTTTCCTGCTTTTTATGTGTATTTAAAAAGCACATCAAATGCTGCTCACCAAATACCCATTGACTTTAACGGAGCTGTGTACATGACAACTGGGTGTCTGCCCTCCTTTGCATAGTGCATCTTTGGATGCAGCATGTTCCATTGAGGTGCGTTTAAACAGCAGGCAAAGCAGGTGAAGCACAGCCTTTTCTGGTAAAACGTTGAGTTTTCCATTCAAATGCACATAGTTGTCTAAGAATAAGGTCCTGCTGAGCAATGTAAAATGAAAGGCCTGATGTTGTCAGTCCTGCTACTATATGCTCCCCGCTGTCTCAGAGAGGGATACAGAGAAGAGTTCCAGAATGCAGAATCACGCTGGGTGCTCGGTTATACCCAACAGTGGATCAGTATTATGAAATATATATTAAGGAAGTCTTATGTCACACAAAGTTGATGAACCCTTGGCCAAATTACATCCCCGTGAGCAAAAATAACTTTTGCAGTAGTGAGTAATATTCAGGGCTTGACATCCTTTCTTGGAATGGTTTTATCATTAAGCAAAGACCCTATTTACAATCACTCTGCTTCACTTCTTAAAAAATTTTGGGAAGCAGCCAGTGCATGATATTCAATGAGTCATGCGACTCATAGACTTTTACTGCCGGAAGGAGCAGTAAAGTAAAACCATTGTATGAGCACTGCAAAGTAGGAAGCAGAGCCTTGGTATTTATTTATATAGCCCCATCAGTTTTATGCATTGCGTCACATGTTGCATATTGATATCCATCCCTATTCCTATTCTATTCCATCCCTCAAGGAGCTTACAATCTATGGTGCCTGTTTCACATGCATGCATACATACACATACTACCGTAGGGTCGATTTAGACAGGAGCCAATTAACCTACCAGGATGTCTTTAGAGTGTGGGAGGAAACCGGAGTACCTGGAGGAAACCCACGCAAGCACAAGGAGAACATGCAAACTCCAACTGAGGACCCAAGTGTTCAAAAGGTAGAAGTGCCAACCACTGAGCCACTGAGCTGCCCGTATAGTATGTCATGAGAAAACATGGAAGCTGCGTGTACATATGTCATTACAAATTCTTGATAAATCATTAAAAACACACACGGATACTATTATTACTATTATTATTATTATTATACAGGATTTATATAGCGCCAACAGTTTGCGCAGCGCTTTACAGTGTAAGGAAGACATTACAATTCAAGACAAGATGGTAAGGAGGGCCCTGCCCATGAGGGATACATGGATTTACATTAGGGTGATCTATTGTATTTCTTTTAAATCAAAGTGGACCTCTCAGTAAATTTAGAAGTCTGCATTCATAAATTCAGTATACAGTATAATTTTTTTCAAAAACAGCCTTTTCATCTATAATTTTAAAAAAAGTCCTAATAAAAGCAGTCCTTGAGCTCCAGACAAGTGATTTTGCCTTAGCTGAGATGATGCCATCAGTCTACTGCAGGCAGGAAGAAGCATTTCCTTAGTCTTCTCTCACCTAGTGATCAGACTACAACACAACCCATTTAAAAAAAACACAAGGTGACAGGTTGCAACAGGGGATGATCTTTGTCGGGCATTTGTGAACACAGCCAAGAACTGTACAATCACCAGAACTTGCTAGGGTACACACAGGTTAGAGAATAGTGGCAGCTATGACAGTTTGACTGTTATATAAATGATGCACTGATTTCCATCCCCCTTCCAGTCACAATTACTGCTGTAATTAAACTATAGGAACTGCTGTAACTGCAATACTTCCTATAGTTATTTACAGTAGTAATTGTGATTGATTGGTGGGGGCGGGGGAACGATAACGACAGGCTTAATTCATTCAATAGCTCAAATGTCATCACTGAAGTTACTCTCTGAAATGGTGGGCATCTGTGCTGCCAACAACTCCTCTTCATTGGGGGATGGAGCAAAAAGCTTTTTTGGAGGAAAGGAGCATTTTAAAAAAAAACCATTAAACAAGCAGATTACATTTAAGAAGCTGAAGGGACTTGAACTATAAAACTGCTATGTGAGGGCAATAGGCATTTGTGGGATCCTTGGTGACCTGTTAAGGGGTCAAAAGGACCTCACACATGAAGTATCTATTTTTTGCTGTTGCCCAAAACAGTGAAATGTGGAATAAACATGCAATAACATATCACAAATACGTGTCACTGCATGCATGTAGATGTGAATCTAGTCTAACAGATGTATCTATGGTCATAAACTAAAAATAAATATGTATTTCTATATTGAATTTCCATAAGTTCTATCCCACCCCTAATAACCATATCAATCAATTCCGTGTGTCACAACTCACAGAGCCTGCCTTCTGAACCACAACTCAGCATCTGAACAATGTAACATTATCATTGCACTGTTTTGCAAACACACGTCAAAATGCACATTTGATGCATGGGAACTGAACCAATAGGGATTTTTTCATTTAAGCTTTGATTGCATTATCAGAAACAACTCTAGTATGTATTCCTATTGCACTGGTGATGTTATAATGGGATAGTATATGCTGGGACTTTACAACTTTAATGATCATCGCATTAGGAGATAAACTATATGGCCAAGAGTTTGTGGGCAGCTGACGGTCGCATCTATATGACCATTGGCATTAATATGAAGTCACCCCGATTTCCTTCTTGGCAGCTGCACCAGCCTCCAATTTTCTGAGAAGGCTTTCCACAAGGTTTGGGAGTCTGCCTGGGGCAATTTCTGTCCATTTAGCACAGTTAGCAATATTGGATGAGAAGACATGGGATGAGAAGACATGGTTTGCATTTCATGGATTTTCAGTAGGGTTGAGGTCAGGGCTCGATTTAGGCCACTCGACTTTCCCCACCCCAGACTCATCAAAGCATGTCTTTATGAACACAGCTTTTATCACAGGGGAACAGTAATAGCAGAAGATTAAATGGCCTTTCCCAAACTGTTGTCACAGGGTTGGAAAGGCACAATTGGCTTTGTATGCTGTAGTATCAACAGTACTCTTTACTCGGAAACTCAATTTGGAAAAGTATCCACATACTTTGGCCATATAGTATAGGTGTGATGGTCGGGTGCCCACAAGTGTTTGACCATATAATGTATATTTTTAGGGCTATTTTATTATATGCATGTTTAAATCTTCGGATAGCACTTTTTGTGATTTTTTACTAGTATGATCATGACTTAGTCTAGTTTTGATGAGGAACTAAATGCCCCCTTATCTCAGCAGCATCTAATCTAAGCTGGTTGAATAAAATTATAAGCACTTTGGCCAACATACTCTGGTATATGTATTTTGACCGGAAATGTAGCCATCTGTCTGAAGCTCTGCTTTAGAGCAGACCTTGCAGGCCCATAGTAACTATGGCCCATAAGTAACTAAGACCTATAAAGCAACTCCTCTCCCCGTTCCTAAAGTAAAAAGTGGATCCCAAATCTTGTGTGCTTTTGTCTTCTTTTAGGGCTCACTTAGGGTACATTTCCTAAGCATAAAACAGGTGACTAAAAGATCTTTACAGAGACAATGCTGGTTGTCCCCTCAACCCTGCATTTTCTAAACTTATCATATACCAGCATTGATATGTGTCTCATACTTTGGGAGTCAAGAGTACAGTATAGCTAAGGTCAGTATCTTATTTAGCACTGGAATTTAAAAGCACACACGTTAGAATGAAAAAAAAAAAAAGTATAATACCTGATGCACAAAGAGCAATCTCAGAGGATTCTTGGACCTGTAAAAATAAAATGTTATTGTTAAATCAGATACGATGATTTCAACAAACCAGAAATTAGGAGGAACAATAACATTTAACCTTCACCTCCCATCTGTTTGCTCTCGAGACGCTCGATCGCTTGACTGTAAAGCTCCCGCCCGGCCGTGTAATTACAACGGCCGGCCCGGGAAGCTGCTCGTCGGGCTCCACTGTCTGCTCCTCGTCACAGACGAGCGGATTTTCAATCTATATCTATATATATTTCCACCACTGTCTTCTACACTCAGTGGCATGTCTCAAAAGGTCAGTAAAAATACCTGATTACCACGGCATTAATTATAAAAGTCTTGAGGGACCGAGGATGGATGAAGTCAGGACTAGACTCGTTTCTGAGAACAAGCAAGAAAACCTCGTACAACTTCCAGGCACAATGCTCACATACCGTAATCACTCTATAATATAAACTCAAAGAGGAAAGGGTTGTGACCATATGATTGTTACATAGGATGTTTAGCTGTGGGTGCCATTCAAACACGAGGGTCACAATTAAAAGGGCAGGTTCAACCAATATTATGTACACAAAATAAAATACAGATATAAAGCTAATCCAACAAGAAAAGGCAACTCCAGATGCCAGGCCTAGTAAAGGCCCCTTTTTAGCCGTCTGCATCTCGCTCTTTACCAAGATCTAGTTTCATCTTTCTCTGTGCATGTGTATGTCTCACTCCCCCACCCACTCTTGTGGTATCTTGTCCTAAAATTGTGAGGTGGCTTTCAGTAGACCAAGCTGAACACCCTTCTATAAATCTCTGCCCCTTTGGCCATGTATTTATTTTGTTAAAAATAAAAAAACTTGAATGCACTACTGACATGTTGTCTGCTTCAAATACTGAGCTACTTTTCAAATGTGCAGACCACCAAATAAGAGAAAGCAAAAATGGCTTTATCTTTTCTGAAATTTGAAGAGTCTTCTGAACCCCATACCACAGGTGGTCAGAACACTTGAAAGATATCACATGGGGGCGTGGCCAAGCAATGGAGCAGTAGAGTCGCGTGTGTGCTGAGCTCTGCTCCCGATCGTGCCCATTGTAGTGGATATATAGCAGTCACGAACCTGAATCCCCATGTCCGGTGACAGGAGATCGACCCGGTCACAACAGAAGGACTCCCGTCTGACGATCCCCGGATACTTCGCCCCGGCGGCCTCGAGACCCTCAGCGGCTGCTGCCAGAAGCACGGAGCCCGGCGGCCATCTTGACTCCCGCATGGCGGGACCTTCAGGCCCAGGTCAGTCTGCACCTGCTACGAGACCCTCTCCCCCCCGGCTCGCCGCGGATGATAGTCCCCAGTTACGGCCACCGGTGGGGGTAGAAGACGGCACACAGATCGCGGTGCACGCTACCCATCTGCCACCGCTCCTGAACTCAGTGATCGGGGAGGCCCACGCAGGCAAAGGCCCACGCACTATTGTATTTAAAGATGGATGATGGAGAAAACAGAAACCGCAGGAATAACGTGCGCCTGCGAGGGGTTCCTGTGTCTACGACGGGTGCTGACCTTCGTTCCACAATACAAGCTATACTGAACCAGCTCCTAGACCGTGACCCAGCTACCCACTTAGAGATGGACAGAGCCCACAGGGTCAATGGTCCCAGGGGGTACTGACCGCACTGGTCCCAGAGACGTCCTATGCCGGGTGCATTTCTTTACACAGAAGGAGGCCATAATGCGGCAGGCCTGGGTTAAAAAGTCGGTGGACTTTGATGGCGCGGTAATCACCATAATGCCTGACCTCTCCAGACACACACTTTTTCTCAGGCGCATGATGCGAGCACTCCTTGCCCAAATCACCTCGGTTGGTACGTCCTACAAGTGGGGCCACCCGTTCCATCTTCAGACACAAAAGGCCGGTGCCACCTTCGTCCTGCTGACGCCAGACCAACTACCAGAATTATTTGCCTTTTTAGGCACTGATCCCGTTGAAATCCCTGATTGGCTCCTGATCCCTGCAGCCTCGAGGCCTACACTACCACCGGCCCCCAGATCACAGCGATCTCGCAGAGGGCGCTCTCGTCGCCGCTCCGACCCTGACCGGAGCCGAGACCCCACTGCCCATGAGGCGTGAGGGTGCGGGTTTGGATCCTGGACCCTGATGTCTGTCTTGGGGAGAAGTCAGGATATGTTCGAGTGGGCAGTTAACCGAAGTAGAGGCTGTGACCTGATGGGGGAACGTGTGTTTGGATACAGACTCCATCAACACTGCTGTCTGCGGAGGGAGTCAGAAGCCGTGCTGGTTGGTTCTGATACCTGTTGGGGAGGGGTTGCTCCTGCTCAGGGGGCTTACCATGAGGGACTGGGGATAGATAGGTCTTAGAGGGCGATTGTAGAGAGGCCGCTGACATATCTCACTGTTCACCACTGATCCGCACATTATGATATGGGGATAGTTTACTTGAGTGGGCACTGTGGGGAGTATCTCGCTATGCTCCCTTGTTTTTACACTTCTCCACTTAAGTGCCCTCTTCGCATATTGCGTTGAGGGTTGTTATAGAATATATTGTTTTGATTAATCGAGATTGCTATATCCTGTTAGATACTGTTGTTATACTAATACGTATTTCCTTTTATCGTATTGTTTGTCTCTCCTCCCTTTTGCTTCTAGCTACTTGTACCTTGGATAGGTGTCCATCTACACCTACCTACCTTTCAGTGTCTCACTAGCTACCTCCCCACTCGGGCCGGTGGTTTTTCCTACCCTTTTCCCCTCATATCCTTGACTTACCTTCCCTCCCATTCTCCTCCCTGGAGAATAGGTACACCGTACCTATTCGAGAATAGACTACTTTCTGATCAGGCAAGGAGACTTACACAGACTCCGGCATACTTCCATAGACGTTCTCACAATATCTGACCACGCACCGATTCTACTGAGTATACTCCTTCACACTGAAGGCCCTAGACCATGGCATTGGCAACTAAACGATCTCCTGCTGGATGATCCGATACTGACAACCAGCATCAGTCAGGAACTGACTCACTTCTTTCGACAGAACCAATCGCCAGAATCTCCTCCCTTGTCCATTTGGGAAGCCCACAAGTGTTGTACGAGAGGAACCTTTATCTCCCACGCCTCTAGGGCGAAGCGTGAGCGGCTAGAAACCATTTCCACCCTACTGACCAAAATTCGATGATTAGAGACCCGCCCCAAACAAACGTTGGCCGTTGCAGTGGAAGCTGAACTGTGGACTCAGCGCCAAAAGTTGGAAGATCTGCTTCTTGGCAAGATCAAAGCCAGACAGGTAAGGGTTAAGAGAACATACTATGAGTATGGCAACAAGCCAAGTAGATCTCTGGCCCTGGCACTCAGAGACGCCAGGGTTCAGACTTATATCCCAACCATAGCGGGTGGAGACGGCAGTTTACTCACTAAATCGGAGGATGTGGCTGCCCGGTTTAGGGACTTCTTCTGTGGTCGGGCCGTACGCTCTCATGGTTCGGGAGAAACAGCGTCCTCAAGATGAATGTCCTTCCGCGCCTACTGTATTTATTCCAGACCTTGCCAGTGCATATCCCAACGACGTTTCTGAAACAGGTGAGGAGAGAGTTCACATCCTTTTTGTGGGCGCGTGGATCACATAGGCTGAGCAAAGCCCATGGGGGGGATTGGGTTTCCAGATCCTGCCCGCTATCATCTAGCAGTACACATGGCTAGGGCGTTCCAATGGTGTAACGTCTCCTCAGACAAACGGTGGTTACAACTGGAACAGGCTGGCTCCTCTCTGCCGTTGGCGGGCCTACTGTGGGCGACACAATCACTGCCTAGAGCAGTCCTTCACCATCCTCTCATGGGAACCACAATCCGCATACTCAAAAAGTCGCCAACAGTACTCCCAGATATGTATCCCCATTGTTACTGACCCCAGTGGTGGGATACCCCAACTTTGTGCCCGGCCTAGAGGACGGCTCCTTCTGGCGTCTCGTACCCGCGAACAAATTTAGACAGGGACATTTCTTATCCCGGCAATCTTCCATAAACCTAGAGGTCACTGGCCACCCTAGGTACACCTCTTCTTCTGCGCTGGCAGGCCCTCCAACTCCGTAGCTACCTCACTAAATTGAACAACTCCCCTCCCCCGCGCACAGACCTAACACCGTTTGAGGATATTTGTTTGGTGGGCGGATACGTTGACCATGGTTTGTCCACAGCCCATGCCCTCTTGCTGATGACGGCCCATACACCTAATCCGGGCTTTCTGACAAAATGGGAGAGAGACCCATCAACCACCTTTTCGCAAGACCAAAAAGATTACATACTACATTTTGCTCATAAAGCATCTACTGCCTCTGCTACCCAGGAAACTGGGTACAAAATACTGACCAGATGGTACTACGTACCCTCCAGATTACACAAAATGTTTCCCCAAACTCCGCCAACATGCTGGAGATGTGGTCAGGCGGAGGGAACTATCCTCCACACTTTTTGGTCATGTCCTAGCCTTAGGGACTATTGGGAGGCAGTCACAAGGATTATAAAACAACTGACGGGAGTGTCCCTGGATGGGGACCCAGCTGCCCTGTTGCTCCACAGGTCCTCCCTGTCTAAGACCAAGTACCGCGCCTCTCTGCTCATCCACCTGGTAAATGCTGCCAGGGCCTGTATACCGCTGAGATGGAAAAGCTCCAGCCCACCCACAGTCACAATATGGCTACGTAAAGTGGACGAAACACGAGTTATGGAGGAGCTAACCGCGGCACTTCACCACACAGACGGCAAATTTCGTAAAACATGGTTTTATTGGCTGGAGTACCTTTACTCCCCGGAGTACGGTGCACTCATGGTAGTATGAGACATGGTACCGTACCGGGGGGATACGATACGAAACCAGGAATCCTTAAACTTAGTTTGCCGCATTGACCCCAGGGGACCGATACAGCGCTGTCCTCTCGCCTGCCGGGGCCCGACCAAATGCCTATTACGTGAGACTTCTACGCCAACCCTTACTGTGACCACACCTTCC